CCTTACTTATTACTTTTTTACTTGATTACTTACTTACTTGATTACTACTACTTGATTATTTACTTATTTGATTACTTTTTAAAACCTTTTCTTTTTAATATAGTTCATTCGAAACTTATAAATGAAACTACCATTATACCTATCAAACGTATCTGTAATTGAAAAGAATTTTTTAATTATTACATATAAATGACAATATTCCACTGCAAAAGTATAGTAAATAAAATATTTTTAAAAAAACAAAGACAAAAAAAAAGGAAAAAGAAAACTTCAACTTGTTTCTTTTATCTGAACTGTCTATTGAAGGGAATCCAGATTTCCCAAGATGCTTATTTCTTATCTTCACACTTCTGACTCGGAATTCATGTATCTGTTTTATTTTAGTATGGGCTATAAATTTATGAAATAAACTTTATATGACACACTTAATACACTTTTCATTAAAGTATATAACGACAGCCACGTTGTCTTATTCTCAGATATTTTAAGTACGGCCTTCAAGGTTCGCTTTTTTCATTATTTTTTTTAAATATTGCTATCGGCCATTTGTAGACATTCAACAGTAGTTGGTACTTGTTTTCATTCATTTCATAGGCGTAGTTCTATTGCTGACAAAGATAAATAAACAGATTTTTTACTATGAAAGGAATCCCTGATTTGCCTTTAGAGAGACCTTCATTCAGAGGTTCGGCAAAGATGATATTTTAAGAATAAAATTATATCATTTAAAAAAAAAAAAAAACATGGTGAAGGAAAGGTTAAAACAAGTTCCATTTGAGACAAGGAAAAACAGACACTAATAAAACATGAAACATCAAAAGTCTGAAAAAAAATAAAACAGAAAAAAATGCCGTATGAATCTGGGTTGTTGAATTGTGGAATTTAGTTTATAATTAATGAACCAGTTTATTTTTGGTTTATTTATCTATAAAGTAACACAATTTATATCTTGACCCTGTTGGAGATTTTGAAATGAAGTAATAATTTTTTTATAATTCATGCATGAAATCTAAATACTGACAGGCCTGGATGAAGTCAGTATGGAATAGTTTATAGTCTGTTTTCATTTACCTGGGATCGACAAGTTTATTCTATTTTAAAAGACAAATTAATATTTTATAAACATGGATCAATTCGAATTTCTTTTTTAAGAAAAATAATGTTTGCTACCACAATTAAGCGAATCAATTATTCAGGTTGTATTCAATTATTATGTTTCTATTCATATACCGACCAAAGTAATGTGATATGTGAGGAAAAAAATTGTAAATTAATAACATAATACCGACAAAAAAAAGTAAATCATATATGTATATCCATAAGAATAAAAAATCTAAATTAAACAATAACAGCAAGAGCCGGTTGCACAAACAATGTTTAAAGTTAACATTCTCTGATAAATGATTGTAGTTAAAATTTAATATTGTTAAAGTTTAGGCTCTGTTGCTATAGTATATTTTAAGCGGGGTTAGTTAACTAGGATTAACGTTTGACGTCACATTATTATTAGTTATGAGGGTATTTATTATAAACAAAGAAAAAGTTTATTATGATCTGACAAAAAAACAATCATGCATTCGTTTCTACAGACCACTACATGATAAACGTAGAAAGATAATTGGGTGTTCTCAAATTGCTTCTAATGATGGAATCAAGAAATTAATTTATGGTTTTGAAAATCTACATTTTTTTCTATGTAAGTTTTTATATAGTTTATAACTGGAAAAAAAATGTGTCGAATTTCATCAATAATACTTATATTTTCTTATTTATAAAAAAAATTATAAAGCAACAAAATAAAAATTTTATCATTTTGGAGTTTTCCAAGCATAACATTTCTCAAGAGTATTAAATATACGCCAAAGATTTTTCAAGTCCAAAGGCGGTCATTCGTGTAATTTTCTCAAGAAAATAATTTTTTTGTTGTCGATTTCAATTTTCTCTATATATGATGTCATTAAAAAAAATAATTTTAGAATAGGGATGGAGGGCCGAGTGGGCTAACGTGTGTGCAAAATACGCGATGTCCGGCTACCTGTAATTAATTAAAGATTACATAATTTCGGTACCCGAGGGACTTTTAACTCTGATATAATTCCACTGACTTCTCTTCTGGCACAGAAAAAAAAACAAATGGGCTAAATGGCGTGGTCGGAGAGAAAAAATAAAAATAAAAATGTTATTCTAGAATATTTATATATTGTATATTCAATAACTAAAACAGCCCAACAAGTTATTAGAAATAAGTTTAATCAAGTTGGGAACATTGATGTATCCAGGTCATTCGTTCTACGCTACTGTTTACATATCGACTTTTAGTCTAATTCATTACAAAATTGCAGGCATCTTCAATCAACAATAATTATTTACATTCATTAATTCTATATAATAAAATTTTATGAAAAATTCTTTTGAATTACTTATCCGTAACCATCACTAATCCACTGATCCAACACTGTACGTCGTAATGCGAACTGAGAACACCTCTTGTAGTTCTCGTATTATTCTGGCAGGCCTTAAAACACCATAATTAGAACCGTGCCAAATGATTTCATTTGCATCTTTAAATGGAGTGGAATAGGCTGCTAATCCATAATCAATCAGGCATCTAATCAAGATTCTGCCACAGTTGCTTATCTGTTTAGGTCTCTATTTCCGGGTACGGATCAGAGGATTATTTGAAAGCATTGTTTCTCTGTCGGATTTCTCCCAATAATTATAGTGTTAACAGCTTCCTTCTCGCCATCAATGATAAATATTTTATGCAATCCAACAGGTGGTTAACCTTGTGATGGGTCTTCCAATAAAGAGGTTACGATATTATTGATATAAATAAGTATCAAATTTTTTATTTCGATATTCCCCCATATCGTATAGCAATGCAGGATTCGATTGCTACATAACAGAAAGGTCCCAGTGTTGCAAATACCCATATTGCCTAAAACTCAGAGGATGTTTGGAAATATATTTTTAAAAATAATTATTTTAATACGAATAAAAATATTGAATATACCGATATTGAATTTCGATAACGCACGTTATCTATATATTTTATTCTTTTATTTATTAAGATATTTAAATAAATTTCTAAGTATAACTAAAATAACTATAACTGTTTACAACATTCTTTCTTAAATACGTTTAATAAATATATTTAGAATTATAACAACATCTGTCACGTGGACAATAGATTATAGTGATATATGCAGAAAATATAAAATTAAGAAAAGTAAAATAATAATTAAAAATTATGTACAGTAAAAAAATAAAATAATCTAAAGATAAGTAAATAAAAAACATAAAAACACAGTCATAAATATTAATTAATTAAGTATACTTTAATTCTTATATTTTTTTAATTAGTGCTTTACTAATACTTGTATTTAGAAGTTACAGCTACGTAGTTACAGTACCTATATTTGAACTGAATTATATTTTTTTTCAATTAGTCATGAAAATTAGGCATTTTTTTCATTTCATACATAAAAAAAACTTTAAACATTTTTTTTTTTAATTCAACATTAAGTTGTACAGAAATTTTACTTGTCTTAGTAGTATCTCGTGCTAAGTATTAAAGATCAATTCTATTTACAAAATCAAAGTAAAAGTTATATTTATAATGCGTGTATTTAAAATAAAAATTCTGACTAAATTGTTTAGAGTGTTATGAATGTGCCTTACAGCTTTAATACTTAGTACACTCTTAAGTCTGATAAAATGTATTATCCTTCAATAAAAAGATTAATAACAAAAAAAAAAGACTAAATTATATTTCGTACCAGACTGAAACGATAAGAACAGATCGACGTTTCCGACTACTTCAGCGCTTACTAGACAAACGCTCTAAACTTTCAATTAATTACAAAAGACTCATATACATGACTATAATAAGGCCTATTTGGACTAGTTGAGCTATGGAGCTCCACTAAACCATCGAATTCCTCTCGTACCCAATCCTTACAATCCAAAATCCTTCGTAAAATCCTCAATGCTCCTTACTTTGTTACAAATAAAACCATCCATAATGACCTTAATGTTTCTTATGTTTCAGATCTGGCCCAATCCAGATACCTATCCTTCCATAATAAACATCAGAATCATCCCACCCCTCCCGTTTCTAACCTTCCTTCCTCTTCAAATCCTGATAACCCTCCCAGGCGTCTGAAAAGAAGATGGCCCCGTGATCTCCTAATGTAGACATACCATTAGAGTTCTACCATTGGGTTGTTTCTACTAAGTGTTTTCACGTCATTATATCCATTTGTTCAAATTTACTAAATGAATTTCTTTAATGCAATAAGAACACTTCATACTTAAAAATACGAAAACAAATATGTTAAAAGGTACTATCAACTAATAACTAGGTACAATTAATTACCACTTAGTTCTTAAAAAACATTTTTATAAAAACTATTGTGGTTTTTATGAGTTAATCGTCAGGAAACCGTTGAAAATATGGTTTCTATTCTAATTGAAATGGTCTCATTTAATTAAGATACTAAAACAGCTATTAAGGGAACCTTACTCGACTTAGTATAAATCATTTTGCGAATAAACCGCTCCCATTCTCACCCTCATACATTGAGGGCTGTTCCTGTGACATTCTGAGCAGACCCTTAATATCTTGATTCGTATCCCCAATGCGATGATATAACTAAAATTTTATGAATTATAATTTTTCATATACTGCTAGTGAATAATTCATTAGTCAATTTATTCAACCAGTAAATCCATGTTTCACTTTCCTTCATATTCACTTACGATTTGATAATAAATTCTGTGACCACATAAAAATCTCCTTTAAATAAAAATATCATTTGATACTGGCAATGTCGTTATTTTTTATCTATTTGATATTATACTATCGATAAGGAATATCGGTACTTGCCCAAAATCTTACTAACCTATATATGAAATAAAACATAGACTGATCATCTTAAGTATAAATAAAATTGGCAACCTTTTCAGACAGAAGCGAACAGTTACTTTACTATTCAATTGAATATTTGTTTTCTATTTTAGATCTCGAGGTTCTTCCGCCCACTATCCTTGAGTCGATTTGAAGACCTCCTGATCTTGAACATCAGGTAACTTCCAATATTTGTCATTCTTACTTTTCATACTACCAGCCATTTACGCTATTATCTCATTTCAGTGATAACGGGGATATGAGCTTCCACTTCTTTGCCGACCCTCACGACCTCGGCAAGATCCGCGACGGTCAGCAGAAGATGGTCGAAAGAGGGCGCCTTGGAGAGCTAGGCCTGGAGATGAATGTGGTCCGCCTGGAGCACGAACAAGGCCTGCGCCTGGAGGTAACATTGTTGCATTTAAAGACTTCATTCCTTTTCAGCCTTAAAATTATCTAATTTGTCATTCTTTCGTTTCACTAATATGTTCGAAGTCAAATATATGATATCTTGTGTACGAATGATAGACTCTATGAATTAACAAGAGATACATAATCTTATTTCTCATCTGCTATCACTGAATCAAGATTCGGAATTTCGTGGTGTGGTGGTGGTGCTGACCAATTGCGAATCTAGCGGGACAAAATTCTAGAAGCCATGTTATTAACAATAAAATATTTTCTTCTTATCCAGACTCATCTGTTATTTTAAAAATAAGTCATCCAATGATTTGTGAACCATTTTTTTTTCTTTTTTATGTTTGATAAAAATCATGAAATCCAAATATAGCATTTCTATAATAAAATATCGCTTAAACTAAAATCATCGATTTATTTTTTATTATAGTATAAAATACACTTATTGGTATCATTAGAAGCAATTTCAGAACATTCACTTATCGTTCTACGTTTATCATGTAGTGGTCTGTAGAAACAAATGCATGATTGTTTTTTTGTCAGATCATAATAAAGTTTTTCTTTGTTTATAATAAATAATACCATAATTAATAATAATAATGTGACGTCAAACATTAACCCAAGTTAACTAACCCCGCTTAAAATATACTATAGCAACACTTTTTTTATTTTTTTGTCAGATCATAATAAAGTTTTTCTTTATTTATAATAAATAATACCATAAATAATAATAATAATGTGACGTCAAACGTTAACCCAATTTAACTAACCCCGCTTAAAATATACTATAGCAACACTTTTTTGCTTTTTTGTCAGATCATAATAAAGTTTTTCTTTGTTTATAATAAATAATAACATAAGTAATAATAATAATGTGACGTCAAACGTTAACCCTAGTTAACTAACCCCGCTTAAAATATACTATAGCAACACTTTTTTGCTTTTTTGTCAGATCATAATAAAGTTTTTCTTTGTTTATAATAAATAATACCATATTTAATAATAATAATGTGACGTCAAACATTAACCCAAGTTAACTAACCCCGCTTAAAATATACTATAGCAACACTTTTTTTATTTTTTTGTCAGATCATAATAAAGTTTTTCTTTATTTATAATAAATAATACCATAAATAATAATAATAATGTGACGTCAAACGTTAACCCAATTTAACTAACCCCGCTTAAAATATACTATAGCAACACTTTTTTGCTTTTTTGTCAGATCATAATAAAGTTTTTCTTTGTTTATAATAAATAATAACATAAGTAATAATAATAATGTGACGTCAAACGTTAACCCTAGTTAACTAACCCCGCTTAAAATATACTATAGCAACACTTTTTTGCTTTTTTGTCAGATCATAATAAAGTTTTTCTTTGTTTATAATAAATAATAACATAAGTAATAATAATAATGTGACGTCAAACGTTAACCCTAGTTAACTAACCCCGCTTAAAATATACTATAGCAACAGGGCCCAAACTTTAACATTGTTAAATTTTAACTACAATCATTTACCAGAGAATGTTAACTTTAAACATCGTCAGTGCAATCGCCTCTTGCTGTTATTGTTTAATTTAAGTTTTTAATTCTTATGGATTAACCATTATGATTTTTTTCCTCATATATTACATTACGTTGGTCTGTATATGAATGGAAACATACTAATTGAATACAACATGAATAATTGATTCGCTTAACTGTGGTAGCAATATTTTTCGTTTTAAAAGAATTCGAATTGTTCCATATATATATATATATATATATATATATATATATATATATATATATATATATATATATATGATATTAATATGTCTTTTAAAATAGAGTAACCTTTTCGATCACTGGTAAATGAATACAGAAAATATACTATTGCATACTGACTTCATCCAGCTCTATGTCTCTATTTCTATGTCATGCATGAATTATAATAAAATTATTACTTCATTTCAAAATCTCCAACAGGATCAAGATATAATATGTGTTACTTTATAGATAAATAAACCAAAAATAAGCTGGTTCATTAATTATGAACTAATTTCTACTATTCGACTTTATCCACATTCATACGGCCTTTTTTTCTGTTTTATTTATTTTTATTTTCAGACTTTTGATTTTCCATGTTTTATGAGTGTCCATTTTTCCTTGTCGCAAATGGAACTTCTTTCAACCTTTCCCTCGCCATGTTTTTCTTTTCAAACGTGAAATGACATTTTTTTTTCTTAAAATATCATCTTTGCTGAACCTCTAAATGAAGGTCTTTCTAAAGGAAAATCAGGGATTGCTTTCATAGTGAAAAATCTGTTTATTTATCTTTGACAGCTTCAGACTTACTCAGCTACTCTCAGCGGCTGATTCTGTAAACTTTATCGGTATCTGAATCCAAATGTTAACTTTCATTCTAATACTTTTAAACCATTTTTGCAACTTGCTTGAAAATTAATTGAAACAAGAACGATGAACCACAGACTACAGCTGTTCTACTTACTAACTTCTCTCAAGTCGTTCAGAATTAAATATAAGACAGAAACTGAACACATACATTTATCTACTCAGACCCATTTAGACCTAGGCTTTAAAGGTATACGGGACAGCCAAAACAAACCACATAAGAAAACTACAAACTTTTCAGCCAAAAATTTCAGAACTATAACAAAAGGTACTTCACAAATATTACTTTAGATAAATACCTACACAGAGCAATATGACCACATACTTACACATTAATAAAAAAATTCACGATAACTTACTCGAACATTCTCATACAAGATATAGCGACAATTAACATACCCGATAAAAGACTGAAGAGGCTCCAAACAAGCTGGATAAGGGTTCTTCTCGCTTAAACATCCATACTGTATGCAAAACAGGTAGAGGTGCAGATCCTTCACGCTAATATTCATATTAGTAAAGGATATTCATATTTGTTTGGACAGAAAACTCAATGTTGGTCAATATGTTTGACAGATGTGGGCTTAGAAATGATATATAAAATAAAAATTTTATTTCTGAGTATACTCAGTATTATTGTGGTTCGATGATATCCGTTATGTATCAATTGTTATAATTATAAACCATAAGATAATATATGAAAGCAAAAGGTTCTCGAGTTGTTAACGAGGATTCGTCGATACTGTATCAAAGTGAAAATTTCTTACTGTATCTCACCTCAACTTCAGCAATGGAAGAAGACTGGTTGAATCGAGCAATCGGCTAAGAGAATCAGAAGGAAGACTTACCGAATCCCCATTGGGAGACATCTGATAGAAGGGCACCAACACTATGAAGCAGAAATAGAACTGAGGCAGCTCAACGGAAATTGGAGTTGGAGCACAAACCTTCTACGTCGGTTTCTCTTAAACGTGAAATGAGGCAGAAATATTATCGGTAAATCAGCTGAAATAATATGAATATTTTGGTATTTATAAATACCTCAGATTTCGAGAATATAGATAAAAACCTGAAATGTAATTTCCTCACAAATCTAACTTTTACTTCAAAAAGATAACATTGAAAAAGTAAAATTAAATATATTTTAAGATAAAATGGAAATTCGTGACATATTTTAAAGGTACTTCAAAAGTAATGATTCCGTATACAGCGACAAATGCTAAATTTAAAATATTGTTTTATATAACTGATAATGTGTTAAAACAGTTACTTTATAATCAAGGGATATGAAATTACATATCAACCAAATTACATATAGTCCTCTCGGTTCGCTGCCACTGGCTTCCAGTTCCTTACCCCTAGATGGACCGTGCATTCTCTGCCACTCCATTGGTCCACCGCAGTCTCGGTCCCCAGATTATCCTCTTGGCACATATCCTTTCTTCCATAAGCCTTTTTTGGATCTCATCATCCTTCATTCAAGCAGCATGGTCTGCCCAGCGACAGACTTCCGATCTTTATAAATCTGACGTATTTATATTATTAAATATTCTTCATATTTCAGCATTTTTTTCTCTACAAAAAAATTGGAAATGATCGAAAAAATATTTTTAAAATCTCCTACAAAATAATCTAAAAATAAAAATTCTAAATTTATTTTAGGGTTTTAACTACTAAATTTATTTTGTTTCATTACACTCTATGTTCCACAGTTTAAAAGTTAATCTGAGTTTTCTTTAAACTTTTTTATTAAGAAGGTTAGTGTAACATTGACTTCATAGGATCCTACTTGTTGGTCCTCTTTGGTATTTGTTCTACATTGAATGCATTTTAAAGCATAACAAAAAAAAGTATATTTTTCGTTCATCAGTGTTTAAAATACTACATACAGTATTCCATTGTCATATATTATTATTTTGATTTGCTATGTTCGCTACAATCGATCAATATACATGAATTATATAATGTATGATAATGATAATAATCACTATTTTTAAATCAAAAATTTCGAAAATAATTGCTTAAGAACCACCCGGATAATTGAGCTATGATACGGATAACTTCATTTTAAAATTAATATTTCTACAATAAATATCTTCACCCCGGAGGTAAAGGGAACTAGATCCATTTTTGTATCTATCCGGAGAGCGGATTATCCATAAATTTGAGTTATTAAAATGTATTTCCTTGTTGCTATATGTTAATGTAATGTTACAATGAAGGTACAGGATATTTCACATTTTGCATTTGTTTGGGGAGCCGAGTTTCATAATTATTAAAATTTGTTTTTTAGTTGGTAAATTATTTGATTAGAAATGGGCATGATGTCCTTTATCTCCGGAGCATAGATATTTATTAAAAATTACATTTGCACTAAAAGACAGTAATCTGGAGTTCAATTTATCAGTGCCAAAGTTTTCACAGAAGTTTTGCAAAATTTTATACTTTGGAGATATCTTAGTAGAAACCTCGATTGTTCTTAAACAATTGAACATTAGCTAATCTTTAAACAAGGCTCAATTTTACAACTTATCTTAGTACTTTATTATGTAGATGTCTCTTAGAACTATTTACAGAAAGGTTAGGGCTAA